TGCCTGAAATGATTCACTCAATTGTTTTTGTCAAAAAACACGAGAGAGTCATCATGAATATCTCAACAGCTTGCACCAAGATATTAATATAAAAATATATAACTTCACTACTAATTATTTTGCTTTACAATCTCCTTATCCTATAAAGAGAATTTTATCTTTGGGATACATATTTTAGCTAGACCACTTTTAAAAAATAGTGAAATTACAATTACTTATTTATGCCGATAAGAACGGCAAAATAACGTGGATGGAGTAAGTTTGCGTGTATTAGGTTAGTTAATCCAAATTTCCTTCGTAATTTGACTTGAGCAGCTTAGCTCATGTACAATAGTTTTTCTTTTGTCAATAATTGACTTGGACTCAATAATTTGTCAGAAATTTACATCATAGGCAATCTAAGCAATGAGAAATGTGTTTGTAGGCTTGTAAGCTACGCTTCTCAAAAGAATTTGACCCAAAATCAACTACTCGGCGATGTGTAGTTTAAATCGGAAAAGACTTCCAGCATGATTTACAATTATATTTTTAAATTATACATATATTTATTTAAGGTTATAAAAGTAGAAGTTCTTCGATTTTTTTGTAGGATATAGAAGTCCTTGTAGCGATAGAACGTAACTCATAATTTTGTTACAATCCCAAAAGGAATCAACTGTTTGAAGAAAAGTTTCAATCCCATTGCAGTTGTTCCTCGGAAGAATCAATGGTTGGCTCGGCGTTTGTACGTGTAGCTTAAATGAAAAAGAATTTCAATCTTAAGTGATTTATAATTATATTCTTAAATTATATAAATATTTAAGGTTATAAAAGTCGATAAATATTTCAAGAATATTTTAGTCGTTCAATATTTAACATAAATTATTTATGTTTTTATAATAACTAGTGTTTATGTACGTGCTTTGCATGTATATCTCTTGTTAGTTATTAAAAGATAAGATGAAAATATTTTCTTCCTCCAACTTTATATTAAAATTAAAACTTTTTATCTAACTCTACATAATAAACATGTTTCAAGTCATTTCTCAAAATATGCCAATAAACCAACGCTTTTAACAAGAAAACGTTAATGTCAATCAAGAAATAATTTTTGAAATTGAGACAACACCACTTTACCCTTTCGATTGTCAAGTTGTTCTTTTACGTTAGTTTTTCTCATGATATTTTTTATGTATGATTTTTTTTTGTCTTTATGAAAGAAAGCAAATGTAAGTTCATAATCTTTTTGTATCACATAGTTGCGTGTTTGTGTTTTTACTGTCTATGTACATACATGTTTTGAGTGAATAAACATTCGAGTTAGATTTCGAAGTAAAACTCTTTATTTATTCATAGTAGACAAATACTAATGGTGATAATAATTTTATCCACATTAACTACAATATTTAATCATAGATGATATTTATGAACTGGTAAAGTTGGTATTTGATTTTAGGATAGCGAACAACGCTACTCCTTTCTAGTTGAGCTCAAACACTTAATAGTTCTGATTATATATTCCAAGCTAATTTCCCAAGTTGTAGATCAGAGCATGGTCTTTTAACTCCATTTGTGCAATCAAGGTAATAGAGAAACCTGAATATTCACAAGTAAAAAAAAAATGCATATATTTTAGTAATATTGTAAATCTAATAATTGCATATACATCAATTGTAGAGTCACGAACTAGACCGACAAAAGAAAAACCTTTCATGTGATAAACTAATAAATATCAGCTGTGTTATCTAAGAAGTTAGAGACACCAATTCGAGCAAATTTAAATTACCAAAAAACAAAATTCAGAATTACAAAATTAAGGAATCCATGGTTCATAACTGATATCTGACCCTTTGAGCATACAACTAATCATGTAAAAATAGCACGGGCTAGCCAATTTTCGGACTGGTAATTGAAAAATAGTTGGCGTTTGCAAAGTCATTGAAAAATAGCCACTATTTTGCTGTAACACGGAGTTCCAGCATAATATACTGGAGATTGGAGCACCTGTGTATGAACTTCCAGCATATTATGCTGGACCAGTATATTATGATAGAGTTCCAGTACATTATGCTGGAACTCCATCATAATATAATGGAGTTCCAGCATAATGTACTGGAACTCCAGTATATTACGATGGAAGCTCACATGTAAAAAATTCGAACTCCAGTATATTATGCTGGAATATTTTTCGGATTTTGAACAGTGTTTTCGTTCAGATTTTTCTTTACATGAAAAGTGGCTAAATTTCAATTACTTTTAAAACTGTGACTATTTTTCAATTACCACTTATAAATCTGATTATTTTTGAATTTCACGCCCTAATCATAGAATACTTTCTAAGTCGGTATCTCACAGTAAATCAAGGATAGCTAGTTGCGTTATCCCAGAAAAACTTTTAAACAAAACTATGTATATATGAACAATAATGTAATATAACATCCTATTTTACCAATGAGATAGAAGTTCACGATGAAAATCAAGAAACTGTAACAACCTATTTTCATGTGCAAGATCAATTCAGTACAGAATCAAACCGGCCACATGATTTAAATCATAAGCAAGAAACAAGCAAAACTTAAAAGGAAAAAAAAGGCTTAAAGATCATGAATAAGATTTCATATAATTGAGATACAAAACTTTAAACTATAAGAAGAAAAAAAGAAGTTAACCGTGATCCAATTTAATTTGACAAATATGTCCAAAAGAAAACGGGACACCAATGATTCAATAATTTTAAATATCTTACAAACTGGAGAACTAAATATCAAGTGTATAGCAAAGAATAACTGAATCATACATATTGTTGTCCAAAAATAATTAGGCTATTATTCTTTGAACCATGCATATTGGAGGCGGGTAATAGTCCAAAACGAATGTTAAGTATAGTCCAAAACGAATGTTAAGTCATAAATGGATTAGATGTACGAACTCGGTTAATGTAGAGTAGTAAATTACGGTTTGCATATATGTTGTTTAAATCAGAAAAGAATTTTTTGCTTAGGTAATATTTTGAATATTACAATTATATCCACATTTAACACAAGTATTTAAGGGTATAAAAGTCGATTAACATCTCAGAGATATTTTAGTCGTATAACATTTAGCGTTGAATATTCGTGCTTTTATAATAATATAGATAGATATAGATATAGATGATGACTCGAGGAACATGAAAGATGACTAGAATAAAGATTCATCACACTATGATATAATAACGTAAAGACACGCAAATATAAATCACACGAGCTGAGAGATATTAGTCAAGTTCAGACTCAAGAATAAAGTTTATTAGAAGATTAAATAGAAAAATCTAAATCATACGAGAGAAAAGATATCCAATACCTTGTAGCTGCCACTCAAGATCACTGAAATACATTGTGGCTTGCTACTTAAGATATTGAAACTAATTTAATTTTAATAGGAGTAGCAGAGTGCTCGAAAGGTGGGACTTCGAATGTTAATTGCATGTTGGCTTGTAGTTATTTCTATATTCCTAAGGCTTGAGGAAAAGAATTTAGTGCGCTTATTTTTAAATTTAATATAAAAACTATTTTTTCATATATAAATTACGGTTCAATATTTTTCATATATAAATTATGTTTCATGAAATAGTATTAACTGATTACATAAGTAAAAATGAAATTAAAAAAATAAAGCAAAACCAGAACACCTGAATTTTAAGGGGAAAAAATGATGTAAAATGTCTTTGCTTTTAATTATTTAGAATCTTTGAAGAAGTTGATGGCGGGGAATGTTACTTCTCTTGGCATTGGATGGAAGAGAATACAAATTATTATGCCGTTAACTTTTGCGCACTTAAAAGCTGTAATTACTGATGATGCCTTTCATATTATTTTTAGCCCCGCTACAAAAGCTAGAGGAAGCTACTCTACATTTGGATTTGGTAGGAAGGACTAATGGCTTGTTTGGCCAAACTTCTCCGATTCTAGAAATATTTTTTTTTTGTCAAACTTTTGGAAGAAAAAAAAAATATTTTTGAGGAGAAACAAAAACAGTTTTAAAGAAGTAGAAAAAAGTAGGTTCTCTCCAAAAGAACTTTTTTAAAAATATTTTTGAGAAAAATACACTTAGAAATAATTTTTAAAAGTTTGGTCAAACACTAATTGCTGCTCATAAGTGCTTTTCAAATTAATTAACTATACACAAACTGATTATCACCAAAAATACTTTTGAGAAAATATGCTTTTCAAAATAAATTGATTTTTGCCGGTGGACCAAACGGGCTATAAGACTTGGTATTATTTCTACAAATGGTAGAGAAAAACTTGGGAGATGGCCAGAGTTATGTGTAGACATATAGGAGATTCAGGGATGCGATGGGGTTGTACTTGGACTCTTGGCGAAGACTTCGATAAGTTGACGCAAATCAACTAAGTTCATGCATATCTGGATTCCGTGGTCTCCTTTTCTTTGTAAGACTATTGAGTTTGCTTTATTCCAAAATCATTAGCACCAAAGAGCTATCTATGGTGTGACATGGGCGACAAAAACGGGCGGGTCGAATCGATATGGACAAGATGAACGAGTAATACAAAAAAATAAATTATCCGATCAAACCCATATTAAATACGAATTCAAACATTCTTGAATATGATCTCTCAAACTTGAGGAACTTTCAATTATAGTCTTTAGGGGAGAGTAGTGTGTACGCAAAGCTTACCCCTACACCGTGAGGTAGAGAGACCGTTTCCAACAGAAACTCGGCATCCTTCCCTCCAAGAACTCCCCACCTTGCTCTTGGGGTGACTCGAACTCACAACCTCTTGGTTGGAAGTGGAGGTTGCTTACCATCAGAGCAACCCCTCTTGTCCAAATGTGAAAGTAAAATTCATTAGTTAACCATTGGTTATCCATTTTATAAACGGATAATATAGCTCTTATCCATATTTGACACGTTTTTTAAGAGTTTATTATCCAACCCATTTTTAGTGGATAATATGGATGGATAAAAATTTATTTTGCCACAACTAATGGGGCATGACCATCCCTGCCGTCCTCTGTAGTCTCCAACTCTTGCTTTTCGGCAAGTGGCTAGATTTATTATTTGCCACTAATTCAAAGGAAGATTAGAAATAGAGCAACTGATATAGTGCTACTTAACATGCAGTTGAGTATATGCTGCAATGATTATACTATTGTTACAGAATGCGGTATGATATGACCTTCCTAGAGTTTCTAACAGAAGATTCTACCAGAAAGAAAAGAATTTTGATATGTTGGATGCTTCCTTAAATTTGATCAACCGGTAGAGTTGTTCTCTTCATCATGGTTCTGCTTAATCCCACTGCAACAAAAGAAATGTGGCAATTTGACTCGACCACAAGCCCTGCAAGTTGTTTGCATCAACAGTGTTATATTATGCATAAGTGTGGTACTTGAAACAAGGAAAAGAAAACTGGAGTACATAAAAGCAGAGAGAATTGGGAGTACACGCTGATATCCTACATTTTCTGTCAAAAATATTTCAAACAAAACTGATAGATAATAGAAGGAAACATCAGATTTTATGCCATTGCCTTCCTAAGTGTAAAACATAGATAAGCATCACGGTTGCCTATAAATTACTACTGACTAAGATAAGCATCATAATCACTATAAACTCAAAGGCGAGCTGCAAAGATCACACAGTCCCTTTGAAATACCAGCTCCAGTGGAATTTGTACAATTGCAAAACAAGGATGCAATGATAGAAAATTATTAAAAACACATAAAGTGATCATACTAATAATATTTTGTATGTTAAATTCAGCAAGATATCACCTCAGACCACATAAAATTTAAATTTATCTATTTAGAAAAGCAACCAAACAACTTTATGAAGGAAAGACCTACTCATTACTTTTGAGTTAGGATTACGGAGTGCATGACTAATAGTATGCTTTCTGTTCATAGTTATCGATGAATTCTGTACAGTATGTTTTTAATTTTTTTTAACCGTCATCTGCTTCAAAACACAGTTAAACCACTGCACTCGAAAAGAAAAAAAAAATGCACTCCAACACATGGCACTTTGGTAATAAGGCAACAGTGCCATCCCCCTCCCCACCACTCCCTTAATTTGAAGCGAAATTTTAACCTGAAGTGATTCAACTAAAATCAAATCAACTTTGGCAATCATAAGCAATAATAGGCCCTATTCAGTGTTTTAAAAGACTTGGACGCAAGGTGAGGCGTTTTACATATGCCTCAGCGAGGCGTAAGCCCCATGTGTATTTAATTTATAATATTTATAAAATAATATAATTACAGTAAATATTTATAAACACGTAAAATTGCATAAAAATTGAATAAAACTATAAATATGTAAAAAATATATATATAGATGTGCTTCATCCCCATAAAAAAACTAATCAAAATAATCTATTATACGCTACTTACAAGCACAAGTAACATGAGTCGAAAAGAATAAAGTATTCTACAAGGAGGAACAAAAAGAATGACTAACCTGCAATTTGAACTTTGAACTTGTTGCTATGAAGGAGAATAGAGTTCTCTTTGTATTTGTAAAAAAAAAAATGAATATTCGTTACTTTTGGGAGATATTAGCAAACTAGCGGACAAGATAAAGAATTGGGAAAAACCATGAATTAGGGTTTCAATCAATAAAAAAGGTCTTGACTATTAAATTCAATACATTTCAGTTCTTTTTTAAAACTTTTGAGTAATTACAAGTTGACTTTTGAGAATTTGAGCATTATATGAAGGACTTATTCTACAAATTTTATTTTAATTTGAAAAAGTCTCTGGGCTTACGCCTCACTACAAAAAGGCGCCTCAAACGCCCGAGCATACGCCCCGAATTGCTTGGCGTACACCTCTTGAGACTTTCGCCCCACACCATCACCTCGGAGCATTTTTGGTGCGCCTCGTCTCGGAGCTCGCCACAAAAACGACTTTTAAAACACTGGACCTAATCATAGATGTTTCTGACCTGCAATTGACAACTGGGACTGAAAACGTGTTTAGTTTAAACCGAAGAACCAAATAGGAGATAACTGAACGTCTCCAAAAAGTTAATATTTCAATCAGACAATACTGCCTTGGTTTAAGTTCTCACATTAAATGCTTACATTCATTTATCAGTACAATAATTCAAGAACTACAGGAGTATAAAAAGAAAAAACAAAAGCTAATTAAACAAAAGCTACAATAATTCTGCAACTCATTACCTCCCAGAGAGCACCATCCCACATCCAAACAATCCCCCACACACACAACTTCAGAGCATGTATTCATGTTATGCACCCATGTAACGGACTAGGGAAATCTAAACAAGTCTGCCAAGTTAATATGCGCAACCAAATATAAGAGCATCACAAAGGGTTAGTGTAGTAATAAAACAATGGCATTTCTGGAACAAGGTTTCAGATCCCGGTCTATCATTGATCCTCAAGGAAAAATAAGAAAGAAGAGAAAAAATGGACATGAGACATGCACCAGCAAGAAGAGAGAGGAGTTTCCGATGACATTAATATCCTCGAAAGCGTTGAACTGTATCAGCCTTGCTACTACTCATCACATAAAGTCAGCCGAATATGTTTACAGCAGTCCGAAGTGGCAGCGAACTTGAGAACATTTCTTGAGAGATTTAGCTTATATTGCCTCTAATTGCTATGAACAGGGCAACGGGCAAAGATTCAACAATTACTATGATTTCAGTACTATAAATCTATCTATTAACAGAAATCTTAAGGGAATCAATGGATTAAGCTTTAAATTTAACTTGAGACTAAATGTACTTAACTGATCCACACAGCCAAATAAAGTTTAAGTGTTAAAGAACAGTGTTTTGAAAGGCGTTTTCGGGGCGAGCCCCGGGGCGCCCCTGGGGCGAGGCGCACCAAAAACGCCCCGGGGCGATGGTGTGGGGCGAAAGTCTCAAGAGGCGTACGCCCAGCAATTCGGGACGTACGCCCGGGCGTTTGAGGCGAGATTTTTTAGTGAGGCGTAAGCCCCAGAGATTTTTTCAAATTAAAAAAAAATTGTTGAATAAGTCCTTCATATAATACCCAAATTTTCAAAATTCAACTTGGTAATTAGTCAAAAGTTTTAAAAAGGAACTGAAATGTATTAAATTTAAAAGTCAATACCTTTTTTATTGATTGAAACCCTAATTCATGGTCTTTCCCAATTCTCTATCTTGTCCGCTAGTCTGCTAATATCTCCAAAAAGCAACGAATATTCAATTTTTTTTACAAATACAAAGAGAACTCCATTCTCCTTCATAGCAGCAAGTTTAAAGTTCAAATTGAATGTTAGTCATCCTTTTTGTCCTCCATGTAGAAAACTTTATTCTTTTCGACTCTAGTTACTTGAGCTTCTAAGTAGCGTATAAGAGATTGTTTTGACTAGTTTTTTGTGGGGATGAAGCACATCTCTCTCTCCCTCTCCCTCTCTCTCTCTCTCTCTCTCTCTCTCTATATATATATATATATATATATATATATATATTTCACATATTTATAGTTTTCTTCATTTTTCATGCAATATTACCTGTTTATAAATATTTACTGTAATTATATTATTTTATAAAATATTAAAAATTAAATACCTATGGGACGGGGCTTACGCCTCGCTGAGGCATATGTAAAACGTCTCGCCTTACACCCACGCCTTTTAAAACACTTCATCAGATCAGTAGTGATCGATGTTATACGCAAAATGCCAAATAGATTTAAAATTAGGTGAGATCCCCCTCTAGAGAAATCTTGTAGTTACACAATAGCCCAGTGCCAACTATACTATATTAACTTCGAAGTGCAGACAAACACAACAACCACAACTATGCCTTGATCACAAGCAAGTTGGGGTTGGGAATCCTTACTATTCATGTCGCTCTATTTAAGAGCATCTCAGTCCGATATTATATAAAATGCAAAGAAACCGTAATTAAAAAAAAAAAAAAAAAAAAA